CCATATACCAGACCACAATTGATTGGTGTCAGTAGTAATCAATTGTACAATTGGTAACATATGGGCACACTGTTAGGCTATATTCACAAACATTTTGGTGTGGCTTCTGCTATGTCTTTATTTTAGATTTGTCTATATTTGGGGGGCAATTCACAAATATAACCATTCTGGGATGGCGTGGAAACAAACTATGAAGGTTAGCTGGCCATATTCTACTAAACAAGAACTGCTTAACAATCACTGTTTATATCCATGCTCATTAAGTGGTTTTCTGCTAAAGGCCAATCTATTATAATTGTACTTTGCTGCAGAAACACGGCCATAATCAATAAATCAATTTCATTTACTGCTTCTGTAGTCAATTGTATTTCTTTCAAAAATAAGCTTACATGGTAACTAAGCCTATTTAATTAACGTAATGCATGACTATTGGAAAGCAGAAACTTGAGGACAACTGTCAGTCACCGATCAAGTCAATTATGACAACTGTATCAATAAACTCTGACCAAAACCTATTCTAGAAGGATACTGCAGCTAATATTACCATTTACTGCATCCCACTAAAAAGACATTAATCTAGACAGACATTCAGAAGAATTTCCTTTATTATGAATGTCAAAGGTATCCAAAGAGCAGCTGCATTATTTTTTACATGATAGGTGCATTGAAAATAACCTATTTAACACAGAAAAAATTTTTTCAAATTAGACATTTCTAGAAGAATAACTCCATTAAAATGACTTTTTTGGGTATGAATTTATTTTCCAGGGTGAAGATCCTACCCTGTCTTGCTCCTTTCTGTGAGAATTTGGTGTGGTCTTCAATGGAGATCCCTCAGACCCCACCACAGGCAGAAGCAGATGGAGTAGGTGAATCACACCGCTGGAGGAACCAACTGCAAAACTCAAAGTAGAATTCTATGTTTATTATGACTTCCAGTACTTTGAGTGAGCCAAGCTGGCCCAGACAGCTATTTACTGTATTACTGATGCAGTGTGTGTTTGTTATAGTATACTGTAGTAGCATCAGCTACATACGAGATACAGTGCTGTACAGGTGACTTCCAGTCTGATGTTGGAACTAATTCGAGTCAGCCTGAACCAAATAAACTATTTAAAGTCATAGCAAACATGGAATTCTATTTTAATAGCCAGGGAGAAAAAGTATTCATATGTTGTCACATCATTCACATTGTGGATCATAATTTCATGGCATTTGATTTCCAACTAAGACTACCAGACACAGGTACCAGCATCTCTACAAAAGTGAAAACACTAGGGTGGATTTACTAAGGAAAATAGACTGTGCACTTTGCAAATGAAGTTACACTCTGAAGACTGCTGCTCTAGAGCAAATACCCTTGCTAACTGCGGCCCTTTTCTTGTCTTTATCTGGCCCTTGGGGCACCAACAGTGCAGGCACCATTCCTCCCACTGACACAAACAATGGAGCATCATTCCTCCCACTGATGCCAATAATGGGGCACAAATACTCCCACTGACCCAACGAAAGGGCAGCATTCCTCCCACTGATACCAACAATAGGGGCACAGTTCCTCCCACTCACACCAACGATGGGGCACCATTCCTCCCACTGATACCAATTGTTACCAATGCCAGGACATTTTTTACTCCCACTAGACACAGTCTAGCCCCTCTAAAGTATAATAAACTGACCCTTTGTTTCGAATATTTGGAGACCCTGCTCTAGAGCTTAGTAAATGAGGGGAAGCTCTGCTGACTTCCATCATCCAATCAGGTGCAAGCTGTTTTTTTTTTTTCTTCTCCATGTGATCATGTATTCTTTGCAAAGTGAAACGTCATCTCATTTAGTCCACTCAGTCTCTTTGCCTCTAGTAAATCAACCCCACTGACTGACAGGTTTCATTAAGCTAGCAGAGCAATTTAAAAGCATAATACAAGAAGAGAGGTTAGGCTAGATCAGAAGTAGGCAATCTTGGCACTGCAGCTGTTGTGGAACTTCCAAGTCCCAAGAGGCTTTGCCAGACTGCCACAGGCAACCAGAGGCACAATGAGATTTGTAATTTCGTCACATACGGAGTGCCGAGGTTGCCTACCCCTGGGCTAGTTGCACATTTGATCAGTCTCTGTGTTATATTTTTTATAAATCTCCCTTTTCAGGATTTAGCCTCAGGTCTGTCCCATCAAAAACTGTTCTCTGTGCTGACAGCAAAAAGTCTCTGACCTGTGGGTATATAAAAAAAAACCTGTACTGGGAAAAATATACAGGCGCCATTGCTGAGCTCCTCCTAAAAATGCTAGTTGCCTGGCTGTCATGCTGATTTGACAGCTTAGATATTTTCAGTGTCATTGACTCAGGAAAAGCATACAGATGTAGATTGGCAGAGTAGAAGTAGATGGGTATGGGAACATGCAGTCACATAATTATTTCCTGTTTAAAATACATTTGGCTCAAACCGTCCCTACTTCTCTTTTAATTTCCCTTTTTTATTTTTTTATGCTGACAGACATCTGTATTAAAATCAAGTCTAGTATTTCCTAAAATATACTTTTAAAACCTTCATCTTAAGTAAAAACTTACAGCAAACTCTAGAATTAAAGAGTTGTACTTTATACAGCAGACAGTAAGGCTGCTTTCACACAGATCCGCTTTTGGTGCATTCTTCAGTTAAAAAAAACGAAAAGAAAAACTGCATCTCTTTAAATCCTATGGCGCTCTTCACACCAAACTGTTGCGCTTCAGTTGTGGTGAAAAATCCTGCTTGCTGCATTTTTGGAGTATGTTTGGCTGGTTAAATAAAAACACACCTCCCCATTGAAGTGAATGGAAACTGCAACAAAAACGCAACACCTCTGAAAAGTGCTTTGTCCAGTGGGGAAAAACACAACACAAATGCATCAAAAACAACACACAGCAGCAAAAACACCTATATCTTTTTAACGTGTTTTTTCAGTGGAGCAGTGTGAAAAGTAGCCTTAATGATTCATCTATCTTCATCTTGGGGAAGATTCCACCTAAATTTACTTTTATCCAGCCACTTTGTATGTGTAAAATAAATAACAACATATCCAGGAGCATACTATTTATTGCCACTCGTTCATGGTAACTATTAGGCCCCTTTCACATGAACATTCCGATAAGCTCCACCTGTCAGTTTTTCAGGTTGACCTGATCAGAGGGTTCATGGAGCTCTATGAACAGGTGAATGTAAATGAACTTGTGTCTATTTACATCTGCCTACCTCTGGGTCTGTTCAGGTCCGGGGAAAAAAAACGGAAAAGGATTGTGTCCTTTTCTGTTTTTGCGGACCAGATCGAAGGTCGTCTGATGTAAAAGGACAGCAAAGTCTGTTTACACCCAGCTGCTGATAGATCTTTGTCCACTGGGTAGAATCTGCACTGCCACGAATATGACATCCATCCCGCTTGGCACAAATCAGCAGGGGATCTGCTCTGCTGATCAGAGCGAACTCAACTCCATGTGAAAGGGGCCTTGTTCTTTGACTGCTCAGAATTCAGAGTCTGAATGCTAAATAAATATAAAGATACTGTAGCACACAGAGTTACAATATAACTTGCATGTTCACTATGAATTATACATTGCACAACATTACAGTGGCTTAGTGGTTAGCACTTCTACATTGCAGTACTGAGGCCCTCAGTTTGCAGCTCGGCCAGGACATTATCTACATGTAGTTTGCACTTCACGTTGTAAACCCCTGGATGGTAGGGGATTGATGTTAAACAGTGTACGCTGCATGAATTGACTGGACTTTATAAATGCCTATGATAAATAAAATGGCAGCAGGATAGGTTTGATTGTTGATAAATAGTGATAGCAACTGGCCCTTGACCACTGCGTGAGGGAGCTGTTTGGAGATGAGAGTCCATATGTATAATGTAATAATTCATAGTGAAACTCTATATTCAGAACAGTGCACATCCCTCATTGCTAGAACAATGGCAGTTATGTTGATCACCCATCCAATGTTCATAAGAATACATTCCAGCAGTTCTCCAGTTCCCAGTGACATTACTGGGTCATGGCTCAAGCACATAGTAAAATGCCTGTTTTCATCTCAGACAACAAAATGGCCACATGTACAGTGGTTAGGCAGTAGACACGTTTAAAACAATGTATTTATTACATACTAATAGCCTATCAAAGTGGTCATCTGGCATAAAAGCCAAAATCAATCCAACAATAGACTAGAAATTCCTTTAAAATGGTGATGGCTGTGGTGGAGACAGGAGGGCAAATGCAGAGCATTGTCCAGCTTCACCCTACCAATATTAAACAGTAAGAAAAACATTCCATATTACCACATTACTCATACATACACAATAACTTAGTAAGAATGAATAAACATACAAATGTACATGTTGTAGTGAAAATCTAAAATGTTCGTTTTAGCATTACAAAATAAATTTGCTTAACTGCTCCTCTGCCACCTCTTTGCTGAGAACCTCCTGGTACACTTTAAGATATAAGGCAAGTTACCGATCACCGGCTCTGCAGGTCAAGCCACCAGGGATGGCAGTGTCACCACAGATAAAAAGCTTAAAGCTAATTCAACAAACTCATGCATCATGATGCTCTTCTTTCCATTTCTAAAGGAAAAAGGTAATTAAAATGTAATAGGTATGTAGTAGTAAAGCAAACTCTCCATTTGGGTGTTAGTCACTGCTACTGGAAAGAGATCTTGCTGAAGATCCAATCCTTAGAACAGGTTGCTTCATAAAATCAAGACAAATTAAGAAGGATGAATAAAAATGCTATTTACACTGGTCACAGGGCAGGGAGTTCACATTCCAGGGAAGACGTCTATTGAAGCAGGATGAAGCACATTCAAGTAACACATGGTATGAAAACAGAGGGCTGAAAGAAGGAGTACTGCAGGCATGCAGTATGGACAGCTGTAGACTGGCTGCTGGGGAGGGAATACACCTTCCGACCAGGGCAGGGGTCTAGTTTCACAGTAGTAGTTCTGCTTTCTTGGGTCATCAAATATAGAGAACTCAGCTATGAGATTCCGTGCCGTTAGGGGTTAGCTTGGTTTTCTTCTCCACCCGAGGTCCTTTGGCGGAATACTGAACCAAGAGAAAAGGCTCTTTGGTCTCTCCTTCTCCAACAATACTCTCCTCATCCTCTGACTGGCTGAACTTCTGCAGGCGAAGATAACACCAGCAACCCAGAATTAAGGCACCAAGGGCTGCAATGGCAATAAGGATGACGATTACTGTAACAACCCCTGTGGTGGGGTTATGGTCCATAATTGACATGGCTGAATCTTGTATTTAACAGCTCAGATACTTGGAATTCAGTCCCAGGTCCCAACAGGCTGGAAACTGCACAGAGAGAGAAGAAAAACCATATTAAACATGAACTATTCATGGACATTTACAGAAAGATGTTGGTCACTGCTTTTAGAAGAATGGGGCAAATGTAGGCACAACCCATACATATTTATCATACAAGAGCAATGAGACTGAATTTGAAGAGGCTCCATTCACAAAGCTTGTACACAGCAAGGTAATGATGATAAAGTGGAAACGTTAGCCATTTCAGGTGTTGATGACATGATAATCTGAGAAATAAAGTAACACCTTAGGCTTAGTAAATTGTATCTTATGGCCAGAACAGAGGAGGAAGAGTTCCAGGAAGTCTTGGCAAACTGGTAATTGGTCTCTGCTTTCTTGGTGACCTTAAGTAGAAGTTCACCCATTCAGAAAAAATTAAAAAGGTGAAAACACCCTACATCCTCCCCATTCCCCCACTCCCCTCTATACTTAGCTTTGTGTGTGACGAGCTGTCAGTGACCATGCGGTCAGCATAGCAGTCCCGGGATTTGAAATCCTCGCTCTTCCCCCATTCTTCTGGGAGAATCAGAGCAATTCTCATTAGTCAAAGCAGTCCTGTGCTGATGGTGACCAATCAGAATCACTCTGATCCATCCCGGCAGCCCTATAGAAACAATGGGGGGAAAAAAAAAAAAAAAAGAGTGGAAATTTTAAATCCCTGGCTGCATGGGCAGTGACCGTTCATCATTCACAGAGTTTGGTACATTGGAGACTGCGGGGAAGGGGGGTATATGGTGTTTGTTAACTTTTTCCGAAGAAATGAAAATGTAAACAAAGTAACCCTTTACCCCTGCAAGAAATAAGCTGTAGGATAGATTTAATAAAACCCAGAGCATTGCAGAAAGGATAATAACCCACAGCAACCATTCTACTGCAATGACCTTAAACCTGTTGGCTATGACACTCTGCATTTTCTACTTCATAGTTTTCCTCCTACTGCTTACACATGATGAAATATGGCACATATAATATGAAAAGATAGTGAGGGAACAGCAACACTCTGCTCATTCCTCTCCAATGTTGTGTTGAGATAAAACACGTCTCAGGTGCAATACAGCAATTAACCCTGTTAATATAAAAAGAAATCCAGGAAATTACCAGTATTTCTTGGGAACAAAAGAAGAGCTCAATCTTTCATGTAAAGTGTGAGCGGTGTTGTTGATTGCCTAAAGCCCAATTCCAGGATATTAGCAACCCCCCTCCCACTGCATGATGTGGACACTTCTACTGGTGGACAAGACACTTCTAACTGCCAGGTTCTCTCTCATGCACTGCAGAGGCGGGAGAACTCAAAGGGGTGGTGGAGGGATCGTACCCAAAAAAAAGATAACAAGTGGGGTAAAACCGCTGGTCCCCAGTGAAGCAATTTGCTTGGCTCATATACAAACTTGAGACTGTGATCCATTACACTACAGAACGGCTTAGGAAGACGTGTTTGGAATCAAGTCTCAGGCGTAAAGTAATGGATGCACAATGCACTATTTCAATTTAATTTTTTTGTCTGGGGTTGAGCTTTACACAACAATGCAAATAAAGCCATCTTGAACTTTTTTTTTTTTTATGTATGAAAGAACAGTGGCCGTGTGCCCAGCAGCTCACAGTCTGGAGGTCAGTGCCTTCCAAAGACATTCTCTACTTACAGTAAATACATTTCCTCTCTGCATGGATTGGTTTCCTTTCATGAACATACAGCTAGGGACTGTCATATACACTGGGTCATTGGTCCCCCTTTTTCCCCTAAATCAACTAAATATGTTGCTGAATAAATAAATCTGTGGTACAAATACAATGAATATAGAAATCCCTATCAGTGTTACTTCATGCAGGGCTTGTAGCAGAAACACTGGACTTAGCTTGGTGTATTTTCCTCCTTGGCTGTGAACGGAAGTCCTTTGTCTAGTGATTGGTTTTCTCCTCCTCTGTGAATACACTGACCCCAGAGACTCTTGCTTAGTCCTGCCATACTGAGGCTTCATTTGCTTTTTAAAGAAAGGCAGAACGAGAAAAAATGCTGTGCTGGATGACGGCTGCATTAACCATCTGTGGTTAAAATGTAAAACAGAAAGCTGAAGCTTCCAACAGAACTTTCCTTTTGTGTCTTTAAGACAGAATGTGAATGCAATATTCCCAATGGGCAACAGACGAAAAAAAAAAAAAAAAGGAAAACTATAGCAGGGGTTTGAACCATTCCTTACTCCCCCCCCCCCCCCCCCCACAAATCTTTGGTTTCAAATATACTTTAAAAGTGGTAAAGGGTGAAAAACCTTGGCTGCAGGATCCCCCCAGCCCCCCCCCTTATACTTACCTAATCCTGATCCAGCGACGTGCACAAGAGAAGCAGCTCCTCCTCAATGGGCAGATTGATAGCAGCAGGGGCCATTGCCTCCCACTGTTGTCAATCAAATGCTGTGCCAAGAAAGTGGGGAGCGGGGCCGAGCCACCCACTCCGTGTCAATGGCTGCACAATGGCTGGGGAGTGAGCCCGCACGGGTGCCCCCTATGGAAAGCAGCTTTGGGCATCCATTGAACAGGAGGAGTCTGGAGTGATAAGGGGATCAGGGCTGCTCTGTGCAAAACTATTGCACAGAGCAAGTAGGTATAACATGTTTGTTATTTAAATTTTTTTTAAAAAAGGAAGCTTTAATGTCCCTTTAAGAAATTTGTAATGAACACATTAAATGGGGGGGGGGGGGGGGGGTTTATGTTTTTTTTATTTATTCATTAGGTGAGAATGCAAAAAACATACACGAAGACCACAACATTTGGCCACAGAGATGAAAGATGGCATAACTCAGTAGTCATGGAGCTGGAATCTACATAGGAGCCATTCTGGTTGGCAAATAAGATCTTAAAAGTTGTAATCACTGAGCAAAATAAAAAGAAAGGAATCATGAATGAGACATGGGTTCCATCAATTAAACAGATAATCAGTAAATCTGTTCTTTACCTAACCCAATAAGCTGTCAGATGGTGGGTGGTGGTCAGTTACTTACAGCGGAGCTCCATTCAAAGGGGTAAGTTCCGCTTTAAGTACTGTTCCCCCATTCCTCGTGAGGAATTGGCACCTTTGAGGAGCAGGTACATGATTTTGACAGGTACCCACTCCCACTTCTGCTGCGACCACCTAGGCAATTGGAGTAGAATTTGTCCTCCCCCCCCCCCCGTAGTCTTCTGGGACAGGACCATTCACAAGGCACAGCACTACTCACGCATGCACAGTAGGAAGTTACAAGCTGTGTCATAGCTGGGTGCCCACACTTAAGATGCCGGTGCCAGGGAGAGAAGACAGCCAGTGAAACGGGCTACAGTAAGCACACTGCTGGATAGAGGGACAGTGGGCGCTTTTTAAAAGTCAGCAGCTACAGTTTTTGTAGTTGCTGACTTTTTTTTTTCAGATTTAGCTGGAGCTCTGCTTTAATTGAAAGGGGAGAGAGGCCTCAGGTAGAACCATTGTTTGGTGTGTGATGGTTGTGTTAAATATTGGTATTTTATATCTGACTATACTCACAGCCTGTTGCTTGGAAATGTATTAGTGTCTTGAGTGAAAAGAAACCCATTTTAGTTAATATTTCAAAACAGGAATTTGTAAGAGCATGCCCTGTATAGAAACAGAAACAAGTAATGCTGTTAATTAACTACTGCTAACATCCTTCACTTTTTTCTCCGGCAGTAAGGCCATAATTTGAGCAAAATTTAGAAGGTTAAACTTTGCTATTTATATACCACTGAGCTGGAACATATCTGATAGCTGGGACGTAGATACCAGAGCAAGGCTGAGATCCCAAACATAGAAACAGAATGATTAGCCCGATTACGACAATGAGGATCTCCTATGGGAATACTTTCAGCAATTTATTAGATGTGTGGCGTAACAAGGTTTACCAGCTCACATGTTCACAATGCCATCTTTTCTTCCCTACATGTTTTGCTAACTGCATTAGGAGAACAATATGTAAGGCGTGAACTAGGTCTAATTAAATAAATGTTTTCTTAGAAAAACAGAGGCTTTCGCTGTTGGCTTTTCAGATTGGAAATGCTAGTTGTCAGGCAGTCAAGCTGACCCTATGGTTTCAGTATTCTGCATCACTAATCCGCAACAAGTTTACCAATAAGGACACCCACAGGCACATTGCATTGTAGTGCCTAGTCATTGACATACTTCAGATACTGAAGACAAGTGCCTCATGCAAGGGGCTTAAAATAAGCTGTAGCATAAAATGTATATTTATTACCGGTATTAATATAGCGCTGACAATTTGCACACATATTTACATATACAGTTTATATCGACCATTCACATCAGTCAATCTGAGCGGTTTTCCTTGCCCGAGGAGACACAGGTGGTACGTACAACTGGCCATAAAAGTGAGTGGCTGAACACAGCCATAGTGGTGTACACCGATTTCCTGCGGCAATCCCCATCATATTTTACCTACTTGAAGACCAGGCCTATTTTCACACTTTTTCTTTTCATTTAAAGAACAGTATTTATTTGCTAGAAAATTGCTTAGAACCCCCAAACATTATTTTATATATATATATATATATATATATATATATATACATACACACACACACACACACATACATACATACAACATACATACACACACTTACACTATGTTGCCAAAAGTATCGGGACATCCCTTCAAATCATTGGATTCATGTGTTCCAGTCACCTCCATGGCCACAAGTGGTTAAAATCAAGCACCTAGGCATGCAGACTGCTTCTACAAACATTTGTGAAAGAATGGGTCGCTCTCAGGATCTCAGTGAATTCAAGTGTGGTACCGTGATAGGTTGCCACCTGTGCAATAAGTCCATCAGTGAAATTTCCTTGCTACTAAATATTCCACGGTCAACTGTTAGCGGTATTATAACAAGGTGGGAGCAAATGGGAACAACAGCATGAAGTGGCAGACCACGTAAAATGACAGAGAGGGGTCAGCGCATCCTGAAGTGTGCAGAAGTCGCCAACTGTCTGCAGAGTCAATAGCTAAAGACCCCCAAACTTTGTGTGGCCTTCAGATTAGCAAAACAACAGTGCATAGAGAGCTTCATGGAATGGGTTTCTATGACTGAGCAGCTGCATCCAAGCCTTACATCAACAAGTGAAATGCAAAGCATTGGATGCAGTGGTGTAAAGCACGCTGCCACTGGACTCTAGAGTAGTGTTCTCTGGAGCGACGAATCGTGCTTCTCTGGCCAGCAATCCGATGGACATGTCTGGGTTTGGTGGTTGCCAGAACAGTACTTGCCTGTCTGCTGATTGTGGTACGTGTAAAGGTTTGTGGGGGGGAGGAATGGCCCCTTAGTTCCAGTGGAGGGAACTCTTAAGGCGTCAGCATAAAAAGGCATTTTGGACAATTTCATGCTCCCAGCTTTCTTGGAACAGTTTGGGGATGACCCCTTCCTGTTCCAACATGACTGTGCACCAGTGCACAAAGCAAGATCCATAAATACATGAATGAGCGAGTTTTGGGTGGAGAAACTTGATTTGACTTGAGTCCTGACCTCAACCCGATAGAACACCTTTGGGATGAATTAGAGTGGACAGACTGTGAGCCAGGCCTTCTCATCCGACATCAGTGCCTGACCTCACAAATGTGCTTCTGGAAGAATGGTCAAACCTTCCCATAGACACATTCCTAAACCTTGTGGACTGCCTTCCTAGAAGACTTGAAGCTGTTATATCTGCAAAGGGTGGGCCAACTCAATACTGAACCCTACGGACTAAGATCGGGATGCCATTTAAGTTCATATGCATGTAAAGGCAGGCGGCCCAATACCTTTGGCAATATAGTGTGTATGTATATATATATATATATATATATATACACATACATACACACACACATATACATACAGTGGATATGAAGCATCTACACACCTAGAGATTTTTAAGGATCGTACTTTGTTGCCATTACATGAATCGTGCACAAAATTTAAAGCATGACATGAGGCATCTATTTACTTGGGGTACATCATCTTTTATTTTTTTACCCCAAATTCGGGATTATATTGTTTTTTTTTTTTGCATTAAAATTCATTAGAGTGTACACACACAGTGGATACAAAAAGTCTACACACCCCTTAAAATGTCAGGTTTCTGTGATGTAAAGAAAAATTGACAAAGATAAATCATTTCAGAACTTTTTTCCACCTTTAAAGTGACCTATAAACTGTACAACTAAGTTGAACAACAAACTGAAATCTTTTTTTTTTTTGGGGGGGGGCAGTAAACATAAAAAAAAAACAAAATAATGCGGTTGCATAAGTGTGCACACCCTCTTATAACTGGGGATGTAGCTGTGTTAAGAAGTAAGCAATCACATTCAAAATCATGTTAAATAAGCGTCTATAAACTGCCTCTGAATAACCCCAGCTGTTCTAGTAGGTCTTTCCTGACATTTTCATAGTCACATCCTACAGCAAAAGCCATGGTCCGCAGAGATAATGATATCAGTGAATCTCACTGCAGGAGAGGAAGTCATTGTGAGAGGGGAGATCAGTGTGGTGCTGGCCTTGCTCCAAGGTTCTCTGATGGACTGACGAAGACTGTGATTTTTACCCTGGTCGTTATACAGCTCTCAGGACAGCACATCTCTGAGTATTTGCTGCACGTTGCTTCTTTGTCTCATACAGGAACGCAGATGTTCTCTATTATAATGTGATTACAATGAGACAATTACGTCACATTTTCAACACATTACGGTTTAATTTTGGGTGCATGCAAGCTCTTTTGTGCCTATTTATAGTCATGTTATTCTGGGTACTTGTGTTTAGCAGAGACATCACTGATTTGTCTACTTGATTATTTAAGATGTTGATATATTTGTTTCAGAAAAGCATTGATTATAAATTGTTTTTAGTTTCAATCAGTTTTGACATTTCATATAGTTTATATTGATTTCACATCTTTGCATTCTTGCTGGAGGCATTTTCTATTAAAATGAATATAAATGCATCAAAATGCATACATTAAGACATGAATCAATGTATTTCATGCAGCATGTGAACGCATCAAATATTTTAGATGCATGTGAGTTATAATGCAGGTTGACATTTAATACACATTGCATTGCAGAGGGCATTGTAAATGGGTGACCATGCACAGCAACATGCGTCATTCAATTCTTTGCTTTTTTTATATATTTCAATTGAAAACACAAAGTCCTACTCCTTCCCCCTTGTCTGAAGTGCTCTGGGCAGTACTTTTCTTCATTGTATGTTCCCACGTACCAATTACTGCGTATTTGCCCCATAGCATAGGATAGCAAGGAACTCCCTTGGCCCTCCTCCCCTCAAGCTAAAGCTGGCCGTAGATTAATCGAATCTCAGCAAGATTCGATCCATCTATGGGCAGGCTAGTTGTACTGAAGTTGATTCAGCAATCAACTTCAGTACAACCAGCCTTTTGGATTTTTTGCATGCGATCACTGCCAGTTGCTATAGCCACTTGCAGTAATCACGGTAATCAGCATGTAACAGTAATCAGCAGGCAAGGAAAGCACTGCGGGAGAGATTCCCCCATAAACTCATTCCTCCACATGACTGTGTTGATGGGAATCGAACGATTTTCCTTCCTGCAACCCATGGCTGCAGGTAAGATAAATTGCATCATCTATGACTTGCTTAAAGTGGTTCTAAAGGCTCAAGGTTTTTACCTTCAAGGATTCTATGCATGAAGGTATAAAACCTTCTCTGAACAGCATCCCCCCCAGCCCTCCCTAATACTCACCTAATCCATCTATGTGCACTGGAGTCTTGGCTATCCTGGGACTCCCTCTTCTCAGCCAATGACTCCCACTGCTGTCAATCACAGCCAGTGAGCCAATGAGGAGAGGGAGCAGGGCCAAGTAGCAGCTCCGTGTGTGGATGGACACACAAGGCAGCGGGTGCTCCCATAGCAAGTTGCTTGCTGTGGGGACACCCGACAGGAGGGAGGGGCCAGGAACACCAGTGGGGGACCTGAGAAGAGGAGGATCCGGGCTCCTCTGTGCAAAACCACTGCACTGAGCATGTAAATGTAGACAAGTTTGTTATTATTATACAGGATTTATATAGCGCCAACAGTTTGCTCAGCGCTTTACAATATAATGGGAGACAATACAGCAACAATACAGTTCAATACAAGAGGGTTAGGAGGGCCCTGCTCCTTGGAGCTTACAATCTAAGAGATTTTTTCTATAAAAAAATAAGCCTTTAGAATCACTTTAACAGACTGACTCAGGACAGCATTGTGAAGGCTGGAAATTCAGAAAAGCAGCACTGAGAGAGCAAGAGCCAGCAGCCTTGAACAATGTAAACTGCAAAGAATAGTTTACTGTGGAAGATTTACTCTAGTGTGCTCAGTGTGTTGAACTAAAAAACGATGAGGGTTTTATTCTAGCTTAACAGCATCTACCGATCATTTGCAAAGCAACAATTCTGTGTTTAGGAAAAAGCAACTGCATTAAATATACCACATAGTGAACATACTACAGACCTAAATGTAATAAGTACAAGTCAATTGCAGTTAATAGCACTAGCAGAAAATGAAACACAAACTCTAAGGAATGTATGTTGCCCACAGCAATTAGATTTCAGCTGTCATTTATTTTCACATGTATAAGCCTATTCTGTAAGCTGCAGGCAAAATGGACATCTTTTATATGCACTGGTTTAGAAAATCATTAACCCTTATTACTTTTGGAAAACATAATAGTATAATATCACAATACTGAATGCAAGCTCAACATTAAATGGCTTTTTTCTTGTTTTAACAACTTGATTCTGCAGCTTAAAGTGATTCTAAAGGCTTTTTTTTAAAAGAAATAATAAACAACATGTCTATACTTACCTGTGTGCAGTGGTTTTGCACAGAGTAGCCTGGATCCTCCTCTCTCAGGTAACCTGCCGGCGCTCCTGGCCCCTCCCTTCTGTTGGGTGCCCCCACAGCAAGCAGCTTGTTATGGGGGCACCGACTGCTCCATGTGTCCATTCACACATATCTGATATGTTATTTGGAAACTCGGGCACTGCCTGACGGCCCGGGGTCAGTAGGGGCCCCATGAGATGCCCCTGGTACCTTTTTCATAGGTTTTTTTGAGTTTGGGCAAGGACACAGGGGCCCCATGATCCCCTATTGCCCGGGGGCCCCATGAGTTGTCAGTCCGCCCCTGGTTATGTCTATGTTTCCATATTACTCGATTTTACATGTAACTACTCTATTAACTCTGTTGTTCATGAGCAATATTTGAAATTGCAGAAGTCCTTAGGCACTGTTCACACTTTTGCAACATGGGAATGTGTGCGATATCACTTGCATTCCCACAGTACAGTAAAAAGTGCTAAGTTCTGACAGATGCGATGTGGTGCCACTCATTCTTAATGGCATCCCAAAATTGCACCAACCACAGTATGTGCACTGAATCACACCACAAGTCATATTTCCAAGCACTGTAGTGTAATGTGCTATAAAAAGAAAAAAAAAAAAAGTGTCCACACTTCTGTGCGATTGTTGTGCGTAGGGCAACGTACCTAAACTCACAAAAACTTGTGTATGTCTGAATGGAGCATTAGTGCCTTTACGGGTAACATCACAGCCTCCATTGAGACTGAGCTTCGGGCAATATGAAGACAGCTACTGCAGAAAACCAATCCTGTTCATGCACCCATTTTGAAGGTAACCCCCTTGAGAAAGCTGGAGACACTGGTGAAACATTGAGGAAGGAAGCTGACTTGTAGTAGGTAGCGGTGGTCATTCTTTTTCATACAGCAGAAACCTCAGATCTCTCATTTTGTTGTAAAAAGAGGGAACTTTTGGACAGAAGAACACTGTAAGCAATACAAGGAGTGGATATTTCAAATACAACCTGGGAACTGAGCACTGAACTTTCTTAAAATACCATTGAATCCTGGAAAACGTGATTGACAGCCACCTGGTCCCCGAGCAGAATTAATGGGTGCAGCGGCAGTTGCCATATTCCCCAAAGCATTTCTTTAAATGGGAATCGTGTGGTTGGGGTACATTATATAGTTATGGGAAGGACACCAAGGACTGTCATAATTTACAGTTACTATCACTATTCCCTCCACTAGTCCAAATTACAACCTGACACTGTTTTTGTCTATAATTCCCTGTAGATTCCCTCTTATATACAACAATTTTCTCTGCTAGATGGTTACTGATGCAATCTATCATTGTCTTTATCTTCAACCCTCTATAGATCCCCCACAATCCTGATAACTATCCAGCTACTTATTCCTTCTAATATTAAAGCAGAACTATGTGCACCTTTG